TCTGTGAGATGTGGCTTGAACCATTTAAAAATGTATCAAAGAAATCAGAAGAGGTTAGACAGATTCTGGATCCAGATAGGTGACAGTGGTTTTGTTTTCAGTTTCTTTCCTCAGTTTCTGCAGTGGGCATGGGTCCTTAGAACAAAGATGAGGAATTGATTCCTCCAGACTGACTTCCATCTGGCACAAACAGTGTCTAGGACCTCTACCCTCGGGCCCTCGGAAGCCCAGGGAAGAAAGATGAAGTACCTTGTGCCTCCAAGGCAGCTGTTGCATTTCCTTTTCCTCTGTTCCAGACCCAGTACCCCACCCCCTAAGCCTGTGGCCTTTGAAGACTTTAAGAACGAACGAGGTAGTGAGATCAACCGCATCTTCAAAGAAAACAAATCCATATTGAATGAACGGAGGAAAAGGGCCAGCGAGACCACCCAACGCATCAATGCCATCAAGCAGGAGATTGATGTGACCAAGGAGGCACTGAATTTCCAGAAGTCACTACGGGAGAAGCAAGGTAGATGTGAAGGGAAGATGGCCAGGGAGAGGTGGGGCTCAGAGTCACCATGCTGTAAATGTGACAGCCTTGGGCACTAAAGGACCAGGATGGGAGGGGCCCATAGAGGGCTCTCGGGTGCAGACCCTTGTCATCTACTAGGCTCCAGGAGGCCCAGCCTAGCCTTTGCCAGTGTTGCCACTTACTGCCTTATTTCAGAACTAACTGCTTAGTCTTCCTCCTGACTTGTGCTGTTGTCCATGGAGAAACTGGCCCTTGGGCCTGCAGGAACAAAGCCCCACCCCCACCCCTTCCTAATGAACACTGGAGGCTCAGTAGAGAAACCAAGGCAATTCACTTTATGACCTTGCAAACCTGGGTACCCTTGACAGAGATAAAAATGGCAGGGTGTACTACAGGTGTGCAAGACAGTTGGGTTTTTGTTTGTTTTTGTTTTTAGAGACAGGGTTTCTCTGTGTAGCCCTGGCTGTCCTGGAACTGTAGACCAGGCTTCCACCTGCCTCTACCTCCCGAGTGCTGGGATTAAAAGTCTGCATCACCACTGCCCTGCACAAAGAAAAGTTTTTAGTAGCCCTGAATGCAGGTTCCTTCCCACTTTCCTTGCTGGCTGAGTAATCAGAAGGTAAGTGTTTTGTTTGTCTTGAGACAGGGTCTTTCTATGTAGTTCTGAATGTCCTAGAACTCTATGGCTTGAACTCACAGTGCCCACCTGACCTCAGCCCTAAAGGGTACAGTATTACAAATTATCAGCCACTTACATTTCTTAATTTCTCAACAAACACAAGCGTGGATTTATCTCTACATTTTATATTCTGTCTATTGTAAAGCTTTTTGGGAGCATGAGCCCATCATGTCTGCAGGTCATTGGGTAATTTTGGTAGTTAATAATTACTTACTGTAGGGCTGGAGAGATGGCTCAGCTGTTAAAGGCTAGGCTTACAACCAAAATAATTACTTACTCTAGACTACCTGGTAGGGGTTCAGTGTCACCTTTTCATCCACAGCTGGACAGACCTAAGCTGATTGAAGGCACCTTTGAAAATGGGCCATTATGCTTTTCTATTTTTACAGAAGGTAAAAGAAGATGAAATCTCTTCAGGAGATGGGTAGTTGGTGACCCCTTCAAGGACCCATTAGTCCTGGTCTGTTCTCCTTTTGCCAATGGTGCTTCGGTTGTGGTAGGGGTACTGCTGGGGACCTCAAGGAATGAGAATGAGAGTCCCAGAAGGCCAAGTGACTTGATGTCCATGAAACCATTCTTCATACTCCACTCCTGACACCGATGCTATCCTGGCAGGCTCATCCCCTGACATTCACTTTCCTGGCAGTCAGGGCACATCACAGGGTCTCTCCTCAATAAATCACAACCCTGTTTCATGTCGTCTTTCATGAGTGACTTCCGGATGTTACTTGGTTTTTCCTGCAGGTCGTTTGGGTCATTTCACTCTCAGAGGTAATTTTATTTCCAGATTCCTGGATCTATTCTGCTCATACCCTTCCCACCACCTATGGCCTGCTATTCTAGAGGGCAAAGGGTCTGGGAAACTGAAGAAAACCAGAGGTGGCAGCTCCAGACACACCGCTGCACAGAACCCACAGGGAGGGGACACAGCAGAAGGCTGATGGGGCAGTGTCCTTCTGTAAATATGTTTCTCTTATTGGTTGATGAATAAAGCTGTTTTGGCCAATGAAAAGGCAGGATGCAGATTAATAGAAATGGTTAATAATTAAGAGAGAGCTAGCCAATAAGAAGCCTGAGCCATTAGTCAAACAATTTATAAAGAAGAGAAGCCTCTGTGTGTTTGGGACTAAGAGCTGCAGGACCAGGCAAGACAGAAACTTCTGTCTACAGAAGCCCTCACAGGGCCCAAAGCACCTTTTTGTCCCTGTGCCCATATGTTCTATAAAAATACCAATCCTGCCTGACACACACATTTAATCCCAGCACTTAGGAGGCAGAGGCAGTCAGATCTCTGTGAGTTTGAGGCCATCCTGGTGTACATAGTGAGTTCCAGGACAGCCAGAGCTGAACAGTGAAACCCTGTCTCAAAAAACAAGAACAGAACAAAACTACAGACCCTGATGATAAATTTACCCAATTTAAAGGGATGCATGTATTATGACATATAATTTACCGTTTGCATTTTTAAAAAATTGTGTGTACAGCCTGGTCTACAAGAGCTAGTTCCAGGACAGTCTCCAAAGCCACAGAGAAACCCTGTCTTGAAAAACTAAAATAATAATAATAATAATAATAATAATAATAATAATAATAGTGTGCCTATGTCTGTGTAGGTGTGGGCACATGAGTGCAGGTGCCTGCAGAGCCAAGAGGTGTCACTTTCCTGGAATTGGAATTACAGGCAATTGTAAGCCATTTATTTTGGGTGCTGGAAAATACAATTGGGTCCTTTGCAAGAATAGTAAGCACACTTAACCACTGAGTCATCTCTACAGTATTTTGTGACTTATCATGGAACTTGAACTTGAAATGCTTCCACCTCAGCCTTCCACCTAACTAGGATTATTGGTCTATACCTCTTAAACTCAGTGAAAATGGACATTTACACAGAGTAAGATGATAGTGAAGTAAGGATTTTTTTTTTCAAGACAGGCTCTCAGGTAACCCTGGCTAACTTAATATGTAGCCAAGGATGACTTTGAACGCTTGTCTGCCTCAGCTATAATTACAGGATGTGCCCATCTCTGGATTAAGAGTATTTTAAGAATACTTTATAATTTGCCAAGATGGTGGCTTATACTTATAATCCCAGCACTTGTGAGGCAGAAGAAGGAGAATCACTGAGTATTTGAATCCAGCCTGGATTACTTAGTGAATTCCAGGTCAGCGTGGGCTACAGAGTCTAAAAACAAAAAAGAGGAAAACATACATACATTAAGGAGTCTTTCTCTGTCCCACCAGTTAGCTTCCAAATAATGACTCAAAGACTTATTAATTGTGAAAGCTTGGCCTTTAGCTGAGGCTTGACCCCAACTAGCTCTTATAATGTAAATTAATCTGCTTCTATTAATCTACCATATGGCTTTTTTTTAACCTCTTTTCCATTTCTGTATGGTTGATTAGTTCTGCATCTCCTGGTATCTCTGGTATAATCTGCACATCTAGATTTCTCTTCCTAACCTGCTGTCCCCAGAAATCCTGCCTATCTTGCCTAGCTATTGGCCATTCAGCTCTTTATTAAACCAATCATAGCAATACATCTCCACACAGTGTACAAATATTCCACAACACATACATGTATATGTGAATATATATTTGATTCTATCACTATCAAAACGTTTTTCAGGTGAAACATTAGTTGTTTGTTTTAAAAGAAAATGGAAATCATCGTTCAGGTCAGTCCCCACCTTGAGGAGACAATCAGAGAATCCCTGGATAATGCTAAAGATATCCAATCCTTCTCCCATTTCAAAGAAGTATGGTGAACACTTTCCAAAGGGTCCGTGCATGTCACATCAGAGCTGTCCCATGGCACATAGCTCATAGCAGATGACTCAGCAGTGAAGAAGATTGCAATCCTACCCCAGATTGCAGACCCCCCTCCAGTTGGGAGCCTTGAGTCTCCATTGATGGTGCAGGGACATTCTTGTGTGGAAGTCCTATGACTTTCCTTTAGGATCTGGGGACTTACTGCATCCTTAGCCACACATCCCAGGCCACATACAAACCACAAATATGGAACAATACAGTTTGCTGTGACTCTTCTATTAATCTTTCAGGTACTGTGAGCAGTGGATAGCCAAGGAAGTAATATATTTCAGACTATTTTTTTGTCTTAACCTAGCAAACCTCTCACCAAAGTGACAGAGTCTGTGGGCAATAGCACAATTGAGTGGAGGAAAGCGAGCTAGCATGCTACAGAGTTCTAATCATTTCTAACAAGAAGGTAGCTGACCAACATTAAAACCAATAGAAGACAACTAAAACATGGATTTACATCTACTTTCATTAATAAGGAATTTTGCTCAAATGCCTTGTGGTACTAGCCAATGATGGCAGTTCATGTATGTCATTTAAAAGAAAAATAAATGTGAGTGGGGCTGAGGATACAGCTCAGATGTTACAGTGCTTGTCAATATGCATTGTAGCCCTGAGTTTAATCCACAGCACTACATAAAATGGTGTGGTGGTGCATGCCATCCTGGGCTACATTGCAGGTTCATTTGCAGTTAGGCCACACAGTTAGGACAGACAGGAGGAGAGCCGAGCAGAAGAGAGGACAGAGTGGGTCCAAGTACCATGATAATTCTGTTCTTGCCTCATCGACCAAAGATGCTTACCCTTTAAAGAAACATTAAACCTCACAGATTTCCCGACACTGGCAGTAGTGAGCATTGGTAGCTGAGATGCCATAGGATAGGGGAGGCCATGTTGTGCCCTCCCTCCACCAAGGAGCCTGTGTGCTAGGCTAGACTCTGCTAGGAGGCAAAGCAGAAGATCTCTCACCTGAACTGTTCTTTCAGTGTTGCTAGGATTAAAGGTGTGTGCCACCACCATCTGGTCTATCTATTTTTTTTTTTTTTTTTTTTTGTTTTTTTTTTTTTTTTTTTTTTTTTTTTTAGTATTGTTCTTTTTTTTTTAGATTTTTTTTTTATTTATTATTATACAGTCTTCTGCCTGCACACCAGCAGAGGGCACCAGATCTCATTCAAGGTGGTTCTGAGCCACCATGTGGTTGCCGAGAATTGAACTCAGGACCTCTGGAAGAACAGTCAGTGCTCTTAACCCCTGAGCCATCTCCGGCCCTGGTCTGTCTATTTTTAAATTATTTTTATTTTATGTGCATTGGTGTTTTGCCTGCATGTCTGTCTTGCAAGGGTGCCAGATCCCCTGGAACTGGAGTAATAGACAGTTGTGAGCTGCCGTGTGGGTGCTGGGAATTGAACCTAGGTCCTCTGGAAGAGTATCAGGTTCTCTTAACTGTGGAGCCCCTGTTTGTTTGTTTGTTTGTTTGTTTGTTTGACTCAAAAGAAAAAAAAGTCTTTAAAGGGTGAATATCTTTGGCTGATGGGACAAGATCCAAATAAGCATGCTACATGGCCCCTCTATCTTCTCCTCTGCCCAGCATCCCTCCTGTTGGTTCTGTGATACCAGTCAGGCCCCACTGAGCTAATCAGCCCCTCTGTGTAGGTATGCTGTCATGGCCTAGCCTTCTTATACTTTGCCCACTCCTTGTCACACCCACCCACACCTCTGCCATGTTATCTGTCAGCATTGTCTTGTTTTTGGAACACCATCCTTCCCCCACCCTGAATGACATCTGCGTCTGCCTCTTTCCATGACCTCTCCCATCACCCTGCAGGCCAGTATGAGAACAAAGGCCTGATGATCATCGATGAGGAGGAATTTCTGCTGATCCTGAAGCTCAAAGACCTGAAGAAGCAGTACCGAAATGAGTACCAAGAACTGCGAGACCTCAGAGCTGAGATCCAGTACTGCCAGCGCCTGGTGGATCAGTGCCGCAATCGCCTGCTCATGGGTATTCCAGTTGGGAAAGTTGGCAGGCTCCTTGAGGTCAAGGGAGGTCGCAGGGCAAGGCCAAGGATCAATTCTGAAGTATTCTCTGACCTGCTGACTGAAGGGCCAGAGCTTAGTCAGGGGCTTCAGGTGTGTGGTTTCCAGGGCTCTGAAGGCGGGAGATGGGGGTGAGGAGACGGGAGCTGCTGGAGCAGGAAGTAAATAGAGCTGAGCCTGCAATATAGCCTTTGCCTGCTTCCCCATAGGCTCTCTCTCATCTCACAGTGCTGTCTCTCTCACTCTTGTAGAATTTGACATCTGGTACAATGAGTCCTTTGTCATCCCAGAGGAGATTCAGACAGCACTGAAGATAGGCAGCAGTATCCGGCCAGGCATGGTGCCTGTCAGCAGGATTGTGTCTCTGGTGAGCAGCACAAGGGTCTGAGGGTGATGAGAGTTGAGCACAGGGACAGTAGCAGTGATGGGGGATTCTAACTCTTCCATGGATTGATGTCTAATGCTGCCAGTGCCCAGGAAGCGGGGGCGGGTGTAAATCCCTCAATTATTGAAAGGTACAAAACTGGGCTAGAGAGATGTTATAATTCGGCACAAGGGGGACCTTGGCGGATCCCACAGCAGGCAAGAGACAAATACACCAGGCAGACAGAGCTTCAGTGAGATTTTTTTTTTCCTCTTCAAGACGGGTTTCTCTGTATTGCTTTGGAGCCTGTCCTGGAACTTACTCTTTATAGATCAGGATAGCCTCCAACTCACAGAGATCCTCTTCCTCTTCTTCCTGAGTGCTGGGATCAAAGGCGTGCGCCCAGTTCAGTAGGAAGTTTTATTGGAGGAAAGGGAAGGGAGTGGAGAAATGAAAGGGAGAGGGGAGAGACAGAGAGACAGAGAGACAGAGAGACAGAGAGGGAGGGGGAGGAGGAGGAGGAAGTGGAGGAGAAGAAGGAGAGAGACAGAGACAGAGATAGCAAAGGTCCAGTCTGCCCCTTCAGAGGAACAGCAGGAGAGAACAGAAGTGGGTGGAGTTTTCTCTTAAAGGGCCAGGGTATACACTCCTGCCATGCACAGTAGGGTGACTTGCTGAGCCAGATTCCCAAGGGGCAGGGGCAGGGGCAGGTTTGTGATGGGGAGGTCCTTATGTGTGTATGTTTGTCTTATTAGTTGGTAAATAAAGTACTGTTGGCCAATAGGGAAGCAAGATAGGTGGGACTAGGAGTCGAGGAGGATTCTGGGAAATGTAGTAAAGAGAGAAATCTTGTGATCCAGGCAAGAAGTGACATAGCAGGCAGACTCAGAATATAAGCAGGGACAAACAGGAAATTGCTCTCTTCCTCTTCCTCTCTTCTCTGGGAGCCACCATGTGAGCCCGACAAGAGAGGACGTATGCCACCGGTATCCTCAATCAGATAGGTTTTTATAAAATATATAGATTAATAATTATGGTTGATACTTAAGTCAGAGATAGCAGATAAGAAATCCTAGTCATTGGCCAGCAGCATTGTAATTAATATAAGACTCTGTGTGTTATTTTGGGCACTCACGTGTTGGCGGGGCTTGGGTGGCTTGGCGGAAAGGTTTGCCTTGATTACAACAGATGACTCAGTTAAGAGTACTTGCTGCTCTTCTGGAGGACCTGACTTTGGTTCTCAGCACCCATGTCAGGCAGCTCACAACTGTCTGTAACTCCAGCTCCATTTCCAATGCCCTCTCCTGGCCTTTGCAGGCAACAGCACACATGTGTCATATAACAGCACAGCATAGACATAAACACATAAATTAAAAAAAAAAAAAAAACTATCTTAGTTAGGTTTCCAAAGCAACTGTTGGGGGGAGGAGAGGATTTATTTCAGCTTATAGTTGTAACTGTAAGCTATATCATGAAGGGAGGTCAGAGAAGGAACCTAGAGACAGGAATTGAAGCAGAGACCATGGAGGAAGGATGTGTAATAGATTGTTCCCCGTGACTTGCTCAGCCTTTCTCCCCGCCCCCTTTTCTTGCCTGCATGTATGTATGTGCACTTCCTGTGTATCTAGTGCTCAGAGTTCAGAAGAAAGTGCTGGATTCCATGGAATTGGCGTTTATACAGTTGTAAGCCACTATGTAAATGATGAGAGTTAAACCTGGGTTCTCTGGAAGAGCAGCCAGTGCTCCTAACCATTGAGCCATCTCCCTAGCTCCTAAATCTGCTTTCTTATACAACCCAGGACCACCTTTTCAGGGGTGCCAGTGCCTGCAATGGGCTGGACCCTTGATTAATATCAATCATTAATCAAGAAAATGCCCACAGACTGGCCTAAAGGCCAGCTTGATGGAGGAAATTTCTTAAGTGAGAGTTTTTCTTCCCAGACATGTCTAGGTTTGTGTCAAGTTGACCAAAATGAACCAGCACAGTTTTTTTTGTTTGTTTGTTTTTTGTTTTTTTTTTTTTGAGACAGGGTTTCTCTGTATTGCTTTGGAGACTGTCCTGGAACTTGCTCTGTAGAGCAGGTTGACCTCAAACTCACAGAGATCCACCTGACTCTGCTTTCCAAGTGCTGGGATAAAGGCATGTGCCACCAATGCCTGGTTTAGCACAAATCTTAGAGATATGTAGGGGATGGAGATCAGTGACTCAGATCACTGGCTGCTCTTCCAGAAGTCCCGAGTTCAATTCCCAGCACCCACATGGTGACTCACAACCATCTGTAATTGTAGTCCCATGAATTCCAATTCTTTCTTTTGGTGTGCAGATGTACATGCAGACAAAACACCTATATACATAAATAAATCTTTAAAGAATGAGACAGAGAGAAAGAGAGTGTGTCTTACTTATGGTTTTTATTGCTGTAAAGAGATGCTATGACCACAGCAACTCCTGTAAAGGAAAACATTAAACTGGGGCTTGCTTATAGTTTCCAAGGTGCAATCCATTATCATCATGGTGGGACATGGCACACAGGCAGACATGGTGCTGGAGGATGAGCTGAAAGTTCTACTTATTGATCTGCAGACGACAGGAAGTGAACTGTCTCATTGTGTGTAGCTTGAGCATAGTAGGCCTCAAAGCCTGCCCCCACAGTGACACACTTCCTCCAGCAAGGCCACACTTCCTAATAGTGCCACTCTCTTTGGGGGCCATTTTCCTTCAAACCACTACTGCCAACTTTCTGTAGTGCCTAGGTGGCCTTTACAGAGGGATCTGTGAGGACCCTGACAGGCATGGGTGCTTCAAATGCTCTGGGTGTATTTGCATACCCAGTACATACCCTGCCAGGATTTATCCTGACGATGTCAGGCTGAGATATTGTGCTGGGTTGGGCCTCTCCCAGGGAGAAGATGACCAGGACAGGTTCAGCCAGCTGCAGCAGACTGTACTACCCGAGGGTCCTGACTCCATCTCCTTCTACAATGCTAAAGTCAAGACAGAACAGAAGGTAACTTGGGTTGCTCATGTCTATGAGGGTGGGGGCCCCAGAGACTTTATTACTAGGACTCCCAGAATCACCAACCCTATTGGATAGGCACAGGGTGGGGGGCGGGGATGGTACTGGCCTAGGGAGATTGAGTATCACCATTAGTTTGTAGGTGTCTTCTACTGGCTCTAGACTAGAACAAGGCTGGACTTTGGAAGTTGGAGAAGGAGGATTACATAGATCATGGCCAAGTCTGGGTATGGCTGGTAAATGCTAACTCAGCCATGCATTGTGGCTCACAGTCCATGACAGTCTAGGAAAGAAATCCTCTGAGACCACTGCCTGTGGGGAAGGGCCTGTCCAAGGGGGCCATCCTGCACAAATGGCAGGGGCAGAGGACCACATGTAGCTGAGGTGGAACTCGGCATGGTAAGCCCCAGATGGAGCCTCTGATTCTCCAGAGTCTCTGTTCTACCAAAGCCCTGGATACTGTGCAGCCCTCTATGCTCAGCTGGGCTTTGCTGTTGTGCGGTTTGCTTGAGACAGGGAGTCATGTTTCCCAGGCTGGTCTCAAACTTGCCAGGTAGCCAAGAATAACCTTAAACTCCTCCTGATCCTCTTGCATCTACTTTCCAAGAGATGAGATTGCAGGTGTGTGCCACCATCCTCTCTCAGAACTGTTTCCTATTTTTCTTAATCTCTTTCATTGTGAGAATGATCTATAGTGTGTATACATGTGTTTGCATAGTTGCATTTTAATTTTTTTTATTTTGTGTATAGGTGTTTTGCTGGCATGTGTGTCTGTGCACTATTTGGACATTTGGTACCTGCAGAGGCCAGAAGAGAGTGTAGGATTCCCCAGAACTGGAGATGATTATGAGTCACCATATGGGTGATATGAATTGAACTTGGGTCCTTTGGAAGAGCAGCCAGTGCTCTTAACCCCTGAGCTATCTCTCTAGTCCAAAATATATATTTCAAATTACAAGTTCATATTTGATTGGACTTAAGGACTGCAAAACACATAAATTAAAATTATTTTCTTCCTAGAAGGGTATATACTTGTTTTTTTGGTTTGTGAGGGTGGGGGGGGTGGTCGTGGTTGTTTTGATTTTTTTGTTGTTTGTTTTGTTTTTGTTTTTCAAGACAGGGTTTCTCCGTGTAGCTTTGGAACCTGTCTGGGAACTCATGCTATAGATCAGGCTAGACTCGAGCTCACAGAGATCCACCTGCCTCTGGCTCCAAGTGCTGGGATTAAATGAAAGCGTTATCACAGACTATCTTGTTTGTTTGTTTGTTTGTTTTTGTTTTTTAGAGACAGGGTTTCTCTGTATTGCTTTGGAGGTTATTCTGGAACTCACTCTGTAGACTAGGCTGGCCTCGAACTCATAGAGATCCGCCTGCCTCTGCCTCCCCAAGTGCTGGGATTAAAGGCTTGCGCTACCAATGCCCAACTGTTTTTCTTTTGTTTTGTTTTGTTCTTTGAAACAATAGCAGAGGGTTGCCTTGAACTCCTGTCTCCTAAGTGTTGGGATTTTAGGCTTTCACTACTACACTTTTCTTTTTGTATTTACTATGCATTTTTGTTTGTTTGTTTTTGTTTTTTGAGACAGGGTTTCTCTGTGTAGCTTTGGAGCCTGTCCTAGAACTCGATTTGTAGACCAGGCTGGCCTCAAACTCACAGAGATCCCCCAGCCTCTACCTCCTGAGTGCTGGGATTAAAGGTGTACGCCACGAACGCCTGGCCTACTATGCATATTATTAACCCACGATAATTTATACCCTTCAAGAATTCCAGTTTGATGGGAGGCAGACACAGGTGGATCTTTGTGAGTTCAAGGCCAGCCTGGTCTACAAATCGAGTTCTAGGACAGGCTCCAAAGCTACACAGAGAAATCCTGTCTGGAAAACAAACAAACAAACAAAAAACCCCACACAAACAAACAAAGAATCCTAGCTTGAATGCTAGCTCAGAAATGGAGCATCTGCCAAGCCTTTATGAGGCCCTGGGTTCCAAACCGAGGACCACAGAGAGGAAAAATTCCATCTTGAGCCAGGTATTATGGCAAATTCTGTAATCTCAGCATTTGAGGGGGCTGAGGTGGGAGTAGCTTGAGTTCAAGGCCACGTTGGGCTATACGGAAACCCTATGTCAAGAAAGAAAACAAGAATTCCAGCTTAGTGTTGACACTGCAGGTTTGGTCTCTTACCTCAGGAACATAGTCCAAGCTAGCCTTACCATTTGCTCCTGTCCTTCAAACTTAAACTTTTTTTTTTTCCTGCTTCATTCTTTTACTATATCCTTTTTTAAATTTTTTTTATTTTTATATATTTGAATTACAAACAAGATTGAATTACATGATGATCCCAGTTCCCTTCTCCCTCCCTTCCTCCTCTATCACCCCCTAAACTTAAACTTTTAACTTAAAAAGGAAGAGTAGAATCTGTGAGCAGCACAGCTACAGAGTGGGGGGCCTGCACAGGAACAGGCCCACCTCTAGAGGTAGAGTCCTTTGCTCTCCTGTGTTAGTTTCCTGTTGCTGTGACAAATACCTGAGAGAAAGAGCTTGGAAGTAGAAAGGGTGACACATTGCCTCTCGGGTGCTGCAGGCAGGAGGACCAGGAGTTCAAAGTCATCATTTGCACAGAGGTTCAAGGCAAGCCTGTCTAGAAACAGAGGGACAACATAGAAGAAAGGTTTATTTTGCCTCAGTTTCTGATCGTGCTGGGTTGTTGTAGGCTTGCAGTAAATGGGAACAGGTGGCATCGGAAGAGCATGTGGAGAGCTAGCTGCTTGTCTCAAGGTGCTCAAGCAGAAAAGACAGGGCTGGACCAGGGACATGGTATACCTTCCAGGGCACATCCCCATTGACCTTTCAGTAATGTTATCAGGTTATGAATCTATTGGTGCATAAATCCATTTATCAGGCCAGAGCCCCCACTTTCCAATTACCTCTCAATGACTCAATGAATCAGATCTACCAGTGGAAACTAAGCTTTCAAATACAGGAACCTGTTGAGGGATACTTTAATATCCAAACTATAACATCTTTTCTTCTGTGAATCCATTCCCAGTTAGATTTTAATAGGCCATTGAAACATACATGCCTCCTTTTTTTTTTTTAATTTTTCAAGACTGGGTCTTACTATATAGCTCTGCTAATCTGGTACTCACTATGCAGACCAGAGCTCACAAAGATCCACCTCTCGAGTTCTGGGATTATAGGCATGCACCACTATGCCCAGTACATGTCTCCTTTTAAACATAACTGCCAAGCTATTTCAAACCAGTTTGACACACTTTCCTTAAATTGAAAGTGTTGAAATGGAATGTTACTTCTAGAATTTGCGCTATCCAGAGAGTTTGTCTCCAGAGTGTGATGTTTGCAAGAAGAACGAAGAAGTGAATGAGTGACAGTTTGTGAGTGCTTGCTAAGACTATACCTCCTGATCAAGTTCCCTTTTCTTGATCCTTTTCTTCCAGCACAGTTATATGAAAACCATGATTGGTCTCCCCCAGTCACACAGAAAATAGTCTCATCTATAGCTTGAAGACCAGCAACTCTAGTCTGTTCTAAGGAAGCTGCTAAGCTACGCTCAGAGCTCCAGCCACTCACTCTGCTGCAAGCTGGAACCAAACCCAGAGAATACACAATTGCCTGCCTGCTAGGATGAACATCCTCCAAAGGATAACCCTGCTTGTCTACACAGAAATACTTTGATTTGCTACCATATGTAAAACCAATATAAACTTACTTTCTAGTTTTAAGTACTATCCCAAAGACTGTTTTATTTCCTGTCTGAAAGGACATCTAGTTGTGGCTAAAACCTAGTCCTATGTTTGCCTAACAAGCATGACACCTGGGATTTGGTGCAACACACACACAGACATACACACACATACACACACACACACACACACACAACACACACACACACACACACGATGGGAGGAGGATTGGGAGTATAGCTCAGTGGTACAATACTTGCTTATCATTCATGAAACTGTTCCATCTCCAACACCACCAAAAAAAAAAAGAAAAAAGAATAGCAAATATTGTAGTTAAGCATGACAGGACAGGCCTGTAATCCCAGCACTTGGGTGGTGGTGACAGAAGGATCAGAAGTCCAGAGTCACCCTCAGCTATGTATCTAGTTCAAGATCACTGTGGACTATATGAAACCCTATCTCAAGCAAAAAATAAAAACTAAAAGCCACTGGAGCCTTGAGTAGGAAATCAAAACAGTAATCCAGGCTCCTCTGGTCAGCCTCTGTCCTCTTCAGTGGACATCCTGAGATGAGCTTGGTCTGAGAATACTTCTTACAGCTCCCAAGGAGTCTAAGTTCTCTCAACCTATCCTTCTTCCTTGGCAACCAAAAGAGGACCAGGTATAGTTAGTGACCTACAAAAGGGAGAGGCAGAACTGGGTCCCTGTGCCCAAGAGTACCTGACCTTAGATACTACACCTTTCCAGCCAAGTACACATATGGAATAGGTGTTGCAGCTTCTCTTTCTTAGTGTGTGTCTACAGATAAACACAAGAGAAGGCAACCAAGCAGGTCACCCTGAACAGGAACAGGGATCACACCAGCAGGGTTGAGCAGGGAAGAGGAAACATTACTCCTGAGTCAAGTCCTCAGGCTCTGGGGCTTGTGTCCTTGGTGATGGTACCATAGGGAAAGAGCTCACTGCTTTGCTCAGGACAAACACAGGCCCTCTGGGGGCTTCGCAGCTGACCATTGTGCCTTAGGGCTGAGAAATGCAATCTCTGCTGAGTAAGATGTTTCTGAACTTCCAGGTAGTCTTTCTTCCTGATGCTGTGGGACAAGGCTTTGACCTTGAATATGGAATGACAGCAATCCTCTGCTACCCTTGAATGCCCAGGATGATAGAGGTCTACAATGGAATTACATGGAATCCCTGTTAACGGAGGCAGTAAGAGAAAATAGTCCAGACCACACCTCAGAGGTAACTTCAGGCTATCAGGTAACTTAATATGAGGAAGATAGTATCTGGGACAGAGGACATGGCTAAGTGAGTGCTTGCTTTGCAAGCATGAGGACTCAAGTTTAAATCCCCTATAGCACTGGGCATTGGTGGCACACGCCTTTAATCCCAGCACTCGGGAGGCAGAGGCAGGAGGATCTCTGAGTTCGAGGCCATCCTGGTCTACAAAGTGAGTGCCAGGATAGGTTCCAAAGCTACACAGAGAAACCCTGTCTCGAAAAACCAAAGAAAAATAAATCCCCTATATATGCATAAGAAATACGGCTACATGCGTGTTTATCTCAGCACTTTGGACCAGAGAGAATCAGATCCTGAGAGTCTGCTGGCCAACCAACATATCCTCAACTGTGGGCTTCCTGTTCATGAGAGACAATCCTTACTTGAAGGAAAAGATTAGGTAGAGAGGTAGGAAAGGAGGAAGTGGGTAGGAAGTAGGCCTCCCACTCAGTTCCAGTTCAACAATGGACTCAACTGAGGAATGACCTTTTTCTCAGAGCCTTAGGTTCCCATTTGAGTCATAACTCTGGCCAGAGTACATAGAAAAAAATGCCATTTGGGAAAAAGGTACCACCCAGTACTTTCTTAAACCACATCTAATTGCTTAAGTGTTGTATCAGTCAATATATATTCATTTGTATATCAAGATATTAGCTCAAAGTATTTATGAAACGTTCTTATGAGCCTTTTGTTTTGTTCTCGTTAAATGCACTGACCCAAAATTGGTTTGGCATATCGAAAAGGAGACCAAGGAAAGGGGCTAGAGCTCAAAGTATTTATATTGGCTGTGAATAATTCAGCGATAGGGGCTGCTTGCTTACTGTTCTAGTTTCATTCTGTTGCTGTGATAAAACACTTGGACCAAAAGCGGTTTAGAGGAGGAAATGGCTTACACTTCCAGGGCACAATCCATCATTTAGGGAAATCAGAGCAGAAATTATGCTAGTTTTCTTTTTTTTTTTTTTTTTTTTTTTTTTTTTTTTGGCTTTTTGAGACAGGGTTTCTCTGTGTAGCTTTGGAGCCTATCCTGGCATTCACTCTGGAGACCAGGCTGGCCTCGAACTCACAGAGATCCACCTGCCTCTGCCTCCCTAGTGCTGGTATTAAAGGCATGCGCCACCAACGCTTGGTTGTGTTTTCTTATATAGCCCTGGACCAGCTACCTAGGTATGCACTGCCCACAGTGGGCTAGACCGTCCTCCACTAATTAGTAACTCCCCACAGACCAATCTGATCTAGGCAATTCTTTAACCTAGGCTTTCCTCTCAGGTAACTCTAGGCTAAGTCAAGTTGACAAAGCTAACGAGGGTACCCAACATATAGAAGACACTGGCTTTAATTTGTAGCACTGGGAGGGAAAAACATTTACAAATAATTTTGGAGAATGTGCTCAAGGGATCAACTGGTGTTCCCTTGTCCTAAATACATTTTCCCATCTCTTTACCAAACCCTAGAATGTACCTATGGGGTATGATCAGTCTTTGACTTTCTTCCTTTTTTCACGAGATACCAAAGTTGACTTTAAGGGCCACTGGTAGCTACCTTTTGGTCTTCTGGGATATATGTGGTCTGGGCCCAAGGGAGGTACTACTAAGAGAAGCAATTCTCAAGGTTTTTATGGTATTCAGCACTCTAGGAGTGGGAATAGATTTCATGTTGGGGGTTTTGGATTTTTTTTCCTTTAAACACTTTGGAGGGTTTTTTGTATAAAAGTATGGGATAGCATGATATGGTAGATCATGCCTTTAATCCTAGCAATTAAGAAGCAGAAGCAGGTGTCTGCTTGGTCTGCAAAGTGAGTTCTAGGCCAGCCACTATACAGTGAGAGTCTATTTAAAAATTTTTTGGGGCGTTTGTGGCGCGCGCCTTTAATCCCAGCACTCGGGAGGCAGAGGCAGGGGGATCTCTGTGAGTTCCCGGCCAGCCTGTTCTCCAGAGCGAGTGCCAAAATAGGCTCCACAGATACACAGAGAAACCCTGTCTTGAAAAACCAAAAAAAAAAAAAAAAGGTTTAAATTTTTTTATGATTTATTTTTATTTCATATGCATTGGGTTTTGCCTTCAAAAAGTGTGTATGAGGGCACTGGATCCCCTGGAATAGGAGTTACAGTTGTGTGCTGTCATGTGGGTGCTGGGAGTTGAACCCAGGTCTCTGGAAGAGCAGCCAGTGCTCTTAACTGCTGAGCCATCTCTCCAGTCCAAGAGACACTGGCGGTGGTGGCACATGCCTTTAATCCCAGCACTCAGGAGATAGAGGCAGGCAAATCTTTTTGAGTTCAAGGCCAGCTGGTCTACACAGTGAGTTCCAGGACAGCCAGGACTACACAGAGAAACCCTGCCTTGATAAACAAGAAAAAAAAAAGCCTTAAAAATACCTTATTGTTTAATGAGAGGCATTGTACAAACATGTTCACAATATTATGTGTGGTAGATATGCTTCTATTTTATAGGCAAGGCAGTAGAAGCCAGAGAATCCATCATGCCCAGTGTTGTATGGATAGAAATGGCCTGCTATTGGTTTATATAGTGCAAGATAGAACTTATTCATTGGACTATAATAACCTAAAATGTGTTGATATCTGCTAAAGTGTAAGGATTTATGGACTGGGGATGTTTTCCCCAGTCGGAGTGTTTGTCTAGTATTCAAGAAGCCTTGAGGTACAATCCCCAGCAGCATATAAACTGGCTATGGTGATGCATGCCTGTGAGCTCAGCACTGCGTGGTAGGATGCAGGAGGATCATCATTGGCTGCATACAGAGGTCAAGGCCACCTGGGATGCACAAAACACTGTCTCAAAAACAAACATACAAAGAAGTAAAGAAAAAGAGGAAGTTCAGGGTTTCACAAGTACCTCATTTTATCCTCAGATCAGGGAGAGAATCTGTTCACATTTAAACTTTCATCTTCAGCAGGTTGTGGTATCTGGCACCTGCAATCCTAGCACCAGGGAGGCTGGGGTAGAAGGATTTGGGGTTTAAGGTCAGAGTAGGGTACACAGCAAGTTTCTGTGCTGCATATGAAAACTCAACAAAAGCAGAACAAAATGGCTGTGGGAGACTGAAACCCAGAGAGTTTGGTGAACCCTGACCCTCTATGATATGCCTAAAGTTACCGGGGTAGGGGGGGAAGCCCGATTAATCTCTATATGTAATAATAAAAAGAAAGTAGATATATTTTTAGGAGCCTGTGAAATGGCTCAGCCAATGAAACCCCTTGCTGTCTACCCTTATGATGGAAGTTGCTCCCCCTGGGACCCACACAGTAGGAGCAGGAGCAGAGAACGGACTCGCTAATGTTGACCTCTGATCTCCACACAAGTGCATGTGTGTACCTCAGTACACACCATACACACAGACACAATCTTTTTTTTCTTTCTTTTTTTTTTTTTTTGAGATAGTTTCTCTGTGTAATAGCCCTGGTTGTCCTGGAACTCGATTTGTGGTCCAGGCTGGCCTTGAACTCAGAGATCTGCCCACCTCTGCCTTTCAAGTGCTGGGATAAAAGATGTGTGCTACCAACGCCTGGCAATACAGACAGAATCTTAAGAATATATTGTATAAGCTAGATTCCCAGCATTCAAGTGGTCAAGGAGAGTGTATATAATAAACTACAGAAGATCCTGTCGAAACACGACAAAGTTAGCTGGTGGAAGATTTCTGAAGGTAACATTTCAATTTATTGGTAGATCCAATTTAGAAATTAATGGCTAATAACCCCCCCCCCCAAAAAAAAAAAACCACTCCACAAAAGCCGGGTTGGTG